AGATTTAATTATTACAAATTGCTAATTTGATCAATTAATTAATTACATTTGGGTTTTTTAAACCTACATGTGTAGGTCGAATAGATTTTTATTGTAATGTTGTAATTTAGCTATTTTTAGCTCTAGCTTATGCTTTGAATTTATTATGATAAAACTGTTATACTGCAAAGCAAATCATTCGATTCGAATTAGATTTAGGAATAAAGATTATAAACTGTCGAAATACTGTGGACAACTTGTACAGGGATATATTTCTTATTTTCTAATGCACCGATTTTTATGAAAATTTCAACAACCTTATGAATACGCTGTGTTAAATTAAACAACCATTAACCAGAATTGCAATATTTTACATAAGGTCCGCTTAAACATTGCAAAAAAGGACGGAGATTATGTCTTGAATCGAACGCTTTATAAATAAATGATTCTATCGATCGATAACCTGCCAAGGTACGCTACTGACGTATCAAGGGCGTTTAAAGCATTCCGCCTCGCGTGACCCGAAACATTATTTGCCTCTTTGTGTAAAAAGAATATGAAGGGGATGATTGATTAATAATTCGAAAATGTAATAACACATAATAAATTAAACTTAGCTGAAGTTGATAGTTATGGGAGCTGCTCGATTACCTACATCCTCAATACTTAATTGCCATATAAAATATTATCATGTGTATGACATTCTTAATCAACGGTGCAGCAGAATCTTCCAACAGAATAGGAGAAGAAAATATTTTGTAGAAAATTGGAGGTCAAAATATGATCTGAAAATATAAAAATTATCTACGAATATATACAAATATATTTTTATAGCCTTTTATTATTTCTTTGTACTTCAACTCCATACTTCATCTGACTACTTGGACTAAAATTTACAAATGAAGTTGTACTCTAAATAGTAGATTTTTTTAAATAATAATATCTACTAAAATGAATCTATTTTCATATTATTCTTACTTCTACATAAGTTTTTATGTACTCGATCTTGGAATAATTAATATCTCAAAGATTTGCCCGTCAACTGACCCTCTTTTACAGATCGTTCTCTTATAACGTCCATAAGCTGTACGATAGTGTTCTGAAAGAATTAAAATTCTTAACGTTAAACTTATTTAAATGTCTCTATGGAAAGTACCTTCTCGAGATTGCGCAGAGCGGAATTTGTTCAATGTTTTTTTTTTCTTTGTTATGTTTTTTTTATTTATTTTTTGTTTTTCCTTATATATATATTTTTTATTTCCCAACTATTGAAAACTTTTCAATTTTTTGATTTTTGAGCCCTACATGTTAAATTTTCGTTTGTCTTACACTAAAAACAGGGAAAAACATTTTTTTGTGACTTAAAGTTTGTTTTTCTAGAAACTAGAACAATTTTTCATCTTTTCTGCAAAAAAATTACTAGATTTTGCTTTTTTTAATAGTTTTTACTTTAAGTTATCGTAAAAATCGTTTTTTTTTAAATATCAGTGTAATAGCCAATAAATGTAAAATAACAAGATTGCTTTCGAAAAATATTCGCTAGGCTGGGCAAGTTCGTCGCAAGTAGCGCGAATCAGCTTTTTATTTTAAAAAGTATATAAAGTGTCCTTCACATCTCGTCAAACTTCAAAGTTAAGGCAAACTTCGGTGAATATTAAAATATGTACTTGTAAATGCAATTCAAAATTATTTTTTTTCAAATATATCGCGCCCCCTGTATTATAGACGAAACCTTAAACTCGCTCTCGACACAGTTTACGATACTGTCTATTTCAAATTATCACATCTTTAAAAGTTTTTCACTTACCGCCAATAATTCACTCACAAAAGCGGAAATTTCTAGGATCTATTAGAATTTCTTGGCCACAAATGACATACCCTGTACATAATTCCAACAATGTTCGAAATTGAGGCTATAGACCTGGATCTCCTTAGTTTCAAGTTTTTGCAATAGAGTAAACAGTTTTCAAGAAACTACTGGTTTCCTGAAACCACGCAGTACGTGGTAATAGTAAATGACGTCATCGCGTCTAGATTGAAGGCGAGAAATGGTGATTTTCATTTGGATTTTTTCAAATATCTTGAACAGCGTATGTGATAGACGAAAATTGTAAATACAAAAATTGTAGCCCTTGATATGGCCTATAACACTGTTTGAACGGATTAGCTATTTTTTATACGAATTTTGATTTACAGTTAAGAATCTACTCTCTAAAATAATAATTTTCTGGGTCTTTTAGATTTTTGTCCATAACTAAAACACCTTGCATATAATCGAAAAAATGTGTTAAGCAAAAGTGATCCACCCAGGTATTACGGTTGTAAAATTTTTCCGATCGGATGAATGGTTTTGGAGGAAACGATGGTTTTCTGCATGCCAAAATAACCACAAAAAAAATCAAAAATAAAAAAAATACTTCACGTTATTTTCTTGCTCCCAATTTAAAGAGTCTAAATGCGGGTCCAGACTTCTACTTCTCTCCCAAGTCTGAAGTCGGTAGCGGCACTTATTATGTTTTTTAATTTTGCACGGAATACAAAAGTTTTAGCTGTTTATATGGGCTATATCGTTATGTAAAGGAAACTGATATCTAAAACTTAGATTTAAAATTATTGCCAATTTTTAATAATAGGGAGACCCATTTTTCATTTTTTTCGAATTTGAGGCACACCTTGTATATTTTTGAAAAATTGTCAAGAATAAAAGTATATTCAGCCGTATCGTGTGAGTCTTCTAGTTCAAGAATTTTTTCAGTTTTGTAAACGGTTTTTGAAAAATGACCTTTTTTGTAGACCCTTGCAAGCGCAATTTTTAATTTTTTAAAATACTTCCCGACCCCCAGCTCCCCCATTTTCAACAGGTTCCGTCACAGGACAAAAACTGCATATATGTGTTAATTATGTAATTATTTCTTACAAGCCTATGTATCTCGTGAAGGGTTAAAAACCAAAAGAAGAGAACGGAGAACGAAGAATGAACAAACAGACAAAAAAAAATTTTTTTTCGACGCTGATCATTTCTGTACCAATGGCGATCCCATGGGTCCTACCGGTACTGGGAAATAAAATTTTATACGAGCGTAGATACTTTCGAAAAAGTTGATTTTTCTAAGTTAACAAGAAATAAATGTCTAAAAATGAATATTTCTCATAGTTCGTTTATGTTCGTATCATATTCTCGTTGTACTGCCCTTGATCACGCCATTCAAAGTCCATCACATCTTGGTGAAAACGTGTTCCTTGTTCCTCGAAATAGGCACCCATGTTATCGTTTAAATGAGAATGTAACATATGAAGTTTATGAGATAATGATATATTCTGCAGCCCATAGTTTTAAAGCTTTGAAGCAGCTTTTCAATCAATTGTTTATAATTGTCAACTCTACGATTTTTAAGAAAGCCGTTAACTACTGCTTTAAACTCTTCCAGGCTTGTTTTTCATAAGCACTAAGAAGCTTGCTCAAGTCATCTTTTTTCATTATTTGTTTCATTTCTGTTCCAACGAAAATACCCCTGTAACTTTAACTTCAACTTCAAGCTTTGGAATTCAGATTCAGAGCTTTCACAAATTGCTTCATGAAGCATAATTTGATAATGCACTGAATCTGCTCTGCTATCCCATAAGGAAAGTCGACAAGGGTATTTTGCATATCCACCTTGCATTCCTATCAGAAAACTCACCATTTTAAAATCACCGATCACTGACCGCTGATATTCTATGTATTTTAACTTTTCTTTCAACAATACAGAATGCGCTAGAGGAAGAATAGGCAATTCATTTCCGTTGTGAAGAAGAACTGCTTTTAAACTTTAAACATAAAAAACTTTTATAGCGCTTTCTTTCGTTCCATTTCTTTAGTCGTGAACCTAGAATTTCCGCTTTACTCTTGGATAGGTTCAAGTCTCAGACTAAATCACTGAATTCACTTGGACTGATAAAAGTTGGCCCAAAACTTTGGGATTTTGTCTTGAATTCACTGCCATCAATGTTGGTTAGTGGTATGCCGGATTATGTTGAATTTTGTGACTCTTGAACTTCATTGCTATCTGAACGTGATGGCACAGGAAACTTTTTTATCATATGGTATCGGAGCTGAAGGAAGATCAGGATACAAAATTTTTTCAGCATTTTCACCAGACCGACCCTTACTTGGATTAACGATAGGAAAATAACAGTCATAGACGTGATAGCTAGCTTCCCTCCAAAGAATCAACCCCGCAAACTTCATACGTCGGTTTTCTCTTCTATACCAAGCTAACACAATTAAGACTATTGTGATTTAATTTGGTCGACATTATTAATTTTAATCCTCATTACAGATTTTTAGGTTGAAATAAATCAAAATGAATTAACATCATATTTACACTGTCTTCGTGCCATTTTCTAACTGAATAATACACAAATACAGCTGACATAGACCAGTTACTACTTACTTTGATGCTACTTACTAATAATAGCACAGTTTATTTTCGGGTCAATTAAAGTGCTGCCATCTTTGGCTTATAAAATGAAGTATACTTATCCACCCAATTTCAATGTTTTTCAAAATCTAAAATCGGAATTTACGCATGAGAACAGAAACCCAAACAATTTTTTTTGTTTACCGATATTATTATTATTATTTCTATAATAATAATCATGAATAATATTATGTTTATTAATTAATAAGCTATCTGTAATGTAACGTCGTGTGACACTAGTTCAGGAGCGACTGGACGTGTGCAGGTCTTAAAAACGGAAACACAGAAAACTGTTACTGCAATTTATCTGAACTTGGCGATATAAGCTTAAGTTGTCCACCCTGTTTGGCAATTTCTTGTTTGCTCCAAGACGAAGTTTGAGTTTTTTATATTAGTCGTGAATGCCGGTAAGCATTCAATAAATATCGTTGCTTTTAATTTTAATTTCTTCATCGTGAATATACGTAAAGTACTTTACGAGCTACGCACCAAATTAACAATCACTCATTAGTAAAATTAAATACCATTATTCCTTACGTGAACTTTCCTCCTTTGTTTCAGTCACGAGGTGGTAACAACACACCAAAATGATCAACATAGCCGGCGTAATATCGATCATCCTATTTTACATCTTGATTTTGGGCGTCGGCATTTGGGCGGCCAGGAAAAAAGAAGCCGGCAATGATTCCGAAGAGGAGGTCATGCTCGCGGGAAGAAACATCGGCTTGTTCGTTGGAATATTTACAATGACAGGTAAAGTATGAGCATGGTATAAGAAATAAACATTGTTGCCAATTATGAAAAAAAAAATGGCGGGTTCAGCTTTTAAGGGTTGTTTTAAACCAGACGTGCATAGTGTGCTACATTATCTTAAAGAGAAAAAAGATACGAATTATGTGGGACCGATATAAGATACCAAGTTTGGACTATATCTCCAAAGGTTTTGTCTAAAAAAAATGTTATTTACCGCACTCGATTTTGTGTAAAAATAACTATCTATTTATATTATTTATACTTTTTTTACTGTCAAACAGAAATATTATTTCACCCCGTATCTCGGGAATGCAACAAGGTAGCATTCTGTTTGCCTCATTCAACCTCTGATAATCACCGGAATGTAACATATATTTAAAAATTTAGGGTTATATTCCCTAGAAATCAGCACTTTAAGCTATTCCAGAGGTATGGGCTAATTTGCTTAGTTTAAATAGAGCAGTCAAAGTTTTTCTATTACTGAATTATGTGTATTGTTTTAATTGAGTATTTTTCTTCATAGAGAAAGAAATGTTAAGTTAACATTACTTTTAATTATTAAAAATGGAAAAATTGGTTAGAAATGGTTATTAAATAATTCTGTTTTAAAATTTGAATTTGTTTATTATGTGTCGGTTTAATTGATAGGAACTGCTGAAAACTCAAACATAATTTTACAAATATTTTACAAATTTCACGTATTTGTGTTGCATTTCAAACAAAAAATAAGTCAATCGACATCACGACATTAATAAACTGATTTTTTAAAAAGAAACTTTTTTGTATTTTTATCAAAATATGCTAAAATAAAAAAAGTAAAATTCTGACTCATTTACAGGCCAAATATGCTTTTCCCGTGTTAAGTGTGACTTCACAATGCAAAAGTATTAAATTTACAACATTTTTGTGATTTTCTCAAAACAAATGTTAATTTGCACCCTAAACCGTCTGTGGTTTTTTTCGAGTTTGGAAGTGGCTACTAATTAATAATTAGTATAAAGTTTTTGTTATCATTATGTACCAAATATTGGTGTGACTAATTAATATATTTATATATAGCGTAATGTTTTTCTAAAAACCGCCGGGAATGTGAGCGATTTAGCCTTTCTGGCAGGAAAAATAATCCAATAGGGTAATTTCCAACATTCTGAAGTAAAAATTTACCGAAAAAGCTTGATGTTTAAATTCTACAACTGCATCGAGGTTTTCATAGGCCTAAATATGACTATTGTGAAAATTTCTTATTGCATTTCTGCAAAAGTTAGCTTCATCTGTAAATATTTCTCGGTCCAATAAGGGATAATGCGCAATTTTGTCGAAGATGTGTGAGGTATACAGAATATTTGCAGTTTTTATAGTACTAAGTCCAGGATTTACATCAAAATAATTGCAGTACAGTACAGTTTCAGTTCTCAAAAACCTGCTTCAGTAAACAATCTCTGTACATTTGAAAATGTTCGCCTATCTGGAATGACTCTATTAGGAAAGCGCTATTCCGACACATTGCCATCAGTCAAAGCATACATAAAATGCGTATCTGCTAACTCCTCATTAGTAAACTCGACCATTCTTTTTTAAAATAGCAGTGCTTGGATATTTTAAACACCAAATCAATAAGACGCCAAAAACTGAATTTGAAAATTGATGTAAAACTACTATCAAACAACCGTGTTGATAATAAAATTAATAATTGTTACATATGCAGCTTACTACAATGATAAGAAATAATTATAAAGATTTTCTAAAATGCACTTTCTAGTTTACGTACTTCGTATTCGTACTTCAATTTTTAATGTATTTTAATAAGAAAAGATATTTATTATTATATTATTATTATTAAGTAAGAAAAAATAATGATATTTGTCTGCATGCCGTCATATTAACGATACTGTTATGGGCATGCAGAAAAGAGGTTTTTATTTTAAGAAAAATCAGTGTCTGTCAAAATAGACAGTTGAATTTGTCAAAGGAACTTCCACAGGCTACTGTAATACTTTTTATAATACTTCATTCTGTTGGCTTCTTCAGAGCTTGATTAAATCTGGCTCGCATTTTACTCTGTACTTGTTTTTATATTGTTTTAGGGGGCGGACGTAAGTGAGGGCCATAAATATCGTCTCAAATGACTGATTCCCATATTGGTAACAGATAAAGACCCGAGTCGCGGTTAAGATTGTTGGGTTGCTTAAAGATTTCTATAAACTCCCGGATTTTTCGTCGGTAGAAGAATTGATTACATGCAAGAATTTTAGTTTTATTTAAGAAAGTTTTATGTCCGGTTTAGTGATTGTGTTCGCAACTGCCGATGAGTTTATTTGTCTTAGTCCAAAAGGCTCTTTCATGTTCTTTGACCTTAGTTGACATTTTTCGTTCTGTCTCTCCAATGTATTCTTTGTCGTATATGCATGGAATGCTGTAAACTCCTGGCATCTCAAATCGAATTTTGTCTTTGACGGACCGAAGATGTTGAGAGATTTTCCGGCAAGTGGTAAATCTTGTTTTGACGTTATACTTCTTTAAAACGTTTGATATGTGGTCAATGATGTTCCTTACGGAAGGACAACAATGGCAAGTGTGAGATTCCTTTGGGCTTCATTGCTATTGGGAGGTTGTGTTATTTTGTTGTTTTGCCTCATGATCAGGAGTCCCTAGTAGATTTTTTTATACTCTATTCAGCCTAACACACGTTTTACCACTGAAAAAGAAACTAATAACAACCTCCCATTCTTAGATCTTCTTATCAATAGACAATCAGGTCGAACATTGGGTTATTGTGTTTACAGATAACCTACGCACACAGACCGAAACCTTAATGGATTTTCACATCACCATCCGGCCCAAAAACATCAGTTATCAACTCTCTTGTTTACAGAGCCGTATAACTATCTCAGCCCGAGTCATTGAACCCAAAATTAAATCACCTGACCTCTACTCTTCTCTCTAATAAATTCCACATTAAAGATATTAAGCGTTCCATCACAAAATACCCTTCACCACAACATTCCAATAGCAATGAAACCGAAAGCAATCCTACACTTGGCATTGTGTTGTTGTATAACGTCAAAATCAGATTTACTACTTGTCCAAAAATCTCTCAACATTTTCGATCTGCCAAAGACCAAATTTCGTTTGAGATACCAGAAATTTGCAGCATGCCATGCACAAACTGCAAAGAATGTTTTGGAGAGACCGGACGAAAAACATCAACTAGGATCACAGAACATGAAAGAGTCTTAAGACTAAGGCGAATAAACTCATCAGCAGTTGCCGAACACAATCACAAAACCGGACATAAAAAATGGTATTCGTTAAAACTAAAATTCTAGCATGTAATCAATTCTTCTAGAAACGAAAAATCCGAGAGTCTATAGAAATCTATAAACAACCTAACAACGTTAACCGCGACTCAGCTCTTTACCTGTCACCCATATAGGAATCAGTCATCCAAGACGGTGTTTATGGCCCACATTCAGCTCCGCCCCCTTTAAACATTATAAAAGCAGATACAGAGTAAAATGCGAGCCAGTTTCAGTAAACCCCTGAAGAAGCCACTAAGCGCTAAATTTCATTGAAATATCTAAATTGGCATTAAAAAAATATATTTTATTTTCAAAAACATTACTACCCTGTATCTCAACAGTTAAGACGTTTGGGACACATGTTCATTTGAACTTTTGTTTTTAAAATGTACCCAAAAATAGCTCTCTTAATTTTTGTCATTCAGATTGTAGCCGTTCTCTCATTTCAGCTACGTGGGTGGGAGGCGGCTACATCAATGGTACCGCCGAGGCGGTCTACACGTCGGGTTTGATTTGGTGCCAGGCACCTTTCGGCTACTCCTTGAGTCTGGTCTTCGGCGGCATTTTCTTCGCGAACAAGATGCGCCAGCAAGGATACATCACCATGCTAGACCCTTTGCAAGACAGTTTCGGCGAAAGAATGGGTGGCTTGCTTTTCCTCCCCGCACTTTGTGGCGAGGTGTTCTGGGCGGCTGGAATATTGGCAGCTCTGGGGGCGACACTCAGCGTCATTATCGATATGGATCATCGTACCAGCGTGATCTTCAGCGCTTGCATAGCCGTGTTCTACACGCTATTCGGGGGTCTATACGCCGTAGCTTATACGGACGTCATCCAGCTGTTCTGCATTTTCATTGGCCTATGGATGTGCATACCGTTTGCCTGGACCAACGAGCACGTCCAATCGCTGTCCTCCATGGACGTCGACTGGATCGGGAAAGTGGAGACTGTCGATCTGTTTTCCTATATCGATTACGGTCTCCTGCTGATCTTTGGAGGTATACCGTGGCAGGTGTACTTTCAAAGGGTGTTGTCCAGTAAATCCGCGGACAGAGCTCAGGTTCTCAGCTACGTAGCTGCTTTTGGTTGCGTGCTGATGGCGATACCGCCAGTTCTCATCGGTGCTATAGCTAAAGGAACAGGTGAGTCTATACCGCGCTGTGGACCAGGAACTACTTACTAAACTTGTAACTCTGTTTCAGCTTGGAACGAAACCGGCTACAAAGGACCGTTCCCGTTGTCATCGGATGAAACCGGAATGATACTGCCTATGGTGTTGCAGTATCTGACGCCCCAGTTCGTGTCGTTCTTCGGTCTGGGTGCTGTGTCGGCCGCCGTGATGTCCTCGGCTGACTCCAGCATATTATCTGCCAGTTCCATGTTCGCCCGGAACGTCTACAAGTTGATATTTAGGCAGAAAGCTTCGGAAATGGAAATCGTTTGGGTGATGAGAGTGTCGATTTTGATAGTGGGGTTTTTAGCGACGGTCATGGCGCTTACTATACCGTCTATCTACGGGTTATGGTAAGTTTCAATTCTTATGTTTCATCAAACCAGAGGATCTTATTGTAACAATAGTTTTGCTTTGCTTTCTTTCTTTGCTGACAGATGGTGATTCGTTTAGAATACCAGTTGCTCCGGGCGTGACGAAAATGAAAATGAACATCATTTCAAATTAATTATTGGTGTTCTGCACACCGAAGGGTCATGTGCAGTATCATATATTTTGAAAAGCAAAAAACTAATACGTATACACCGTGTCCCACTTAAGAATCCTTGTAAAACCTTTGTTTATTGTTCGATTTTGAGTTATTCTTGGTCGATGGGGTTATTTAGCAACAGGGAGAGAGGAAAAAAAAGGTACTATTAGTGATTTTTATAACAAATTACCAACAAGTTCGTATTGAGGAGTACTTATAACCTAACTATACCGTTTTCTAGCATTTTTCAATAGCAGGTATTTGAAATATCGTTTACATCCCGTTTAGTCCATGGTATATGAAAGAAAACATTTCAGTGCCTTTAAGTAAGATCTATAAGACAAAAGTGGAGCAGTGGTTAATAAGCGAGGCGCTAGAGATATTTGGAACACACTGTATTCGAGCTTCATAGAAAGAAGTATACTTAGGTTTTAGGTAGTCCCGAATAAGAACATAATAGAACTTTTTACAAAGCTTCTGGATTCCTCCTGCGTCGGTTTTTGCTGAATCGAAATTGCTGACGTTTTGCCAATCATCTGAAGTCAGTCAAGCTCTGAAAAAGCCAACAGGATGATTGGCGAAACGTCAGCAATTTCGACTCAGCAAAAACTGACGCAGGAGGAATCCAGAAGCTTTGTAAAAAGTGTTACAGTAGCCTGTCGAAGTTTGGTATAAAATAAATTGGTATAGTTGCGTTTTAAGTACTCCTGAATGAGAATCTGTTATTTTTTAAAATAACCCCAATAGTACTTCACTCTTCTCTCTCTTTTTCTGTTGTTAAATAGTTACAGTTTGTCATGACTTTAGGCAGGAGCAAGAAGGAAAAAAAATAAAATTGGAAAGTAAATTGGGATTTACAGTCGGGTCAGTTCTTGTAGGTCACACTGCATACCAAACGTATAAGGGGAAAGATGAGAAAAATTTAAAGAGATTTTGGATTTATTTAATTTTTACTCCGGTTTAGGAAAAGAAAACACCATTGTGTATTGCAAAATTTGGGAATTGCTAGACCAAGACCTTGGAAATGGGGGATTTATGCAATTCTCATAGTACCTCTGCAAAATATTCCAAAGTTCTTTAATTCCCTTGCCTTATCTATTTATTAAATAACCACTGCAGGACCCTTCAATAGGTCAATAGAAAATTCCTCTTTAAATTTGCTACCCTTCCAAACTAACGCATTTACAATTACATAATATAAGATGAGATCAGATACCCTACAAATATCTTCAATTAGCAGGGTGTTTTTTTTACTAATATTATGAATTCTACGAATATTGCTAAATGGGAAGAGATACAGAAAAACCAAAGAGATGGCTTCCATTTTCATTTTTAGATCGAATCTACTCCATAGATTAGATTTAAAGAGTTAAGTTCGTTCTCAAAATTTAGCGATTTCTGTTGTCTCTTATTACTTCATCATTTATGGAAATTAAATAAACATCAGGTACAAAAAGGTTACAAATTCTAGATGCAATCCAGCGGCTTACTTAATAATATTAACTCGTTTTTAATATCATGCATTTTACATCATACTTTTCGAAAAATAAAACTGTCATTCAATTCGGCCGTTACACATTCTTCCAAAAGTTTTATACTACTTTTAACTTTGAAGTTTCGTATAAACCCAAACCCTCTGATGAGGATTTATGTTTTATCGTAAAGTAATATTGATTGTTGCAATTAAAAATTTCTTCGCAAGATATAAGAGCCTCTTCCGGTCCATATTTTATCTTGTAAAAATATAAATATCAATTATAAAAGTCTAAACGACACTTTCCATTTTCAAGAATTCAGTTTGCAATTAAACTTTTTTTTTTTTAAAACCTTATGCTTATCTTTGTCAATTTTGCCGTTGGCTACATTCGGATCAGCAACAATAGGAGTATGTCAATTTCATCCCCTTTCTCAATTCTTTTTAAATTATCTTTAAATATTTCCCATTCTCGTTGCCATCGTTACCGATTAACTTTGTTTTTAATGCTCTCGACATAACCGCTCAAACACGCTCAACATTCATAGTTTTGATTAGCAGTATTGATTTTCGACACTTTAAAAATATAGCAAAAGAAAAAGAGGTGATATTTTAATTGTTTTCGAAAAGCCGCATGGAGTGTGTGGATTGCATGTTTTAAGATTCCCAGATATAAATCGTCCAAGGTTGATTTTGATAAATCGAAAATTCAAACACCATATTATTTCAAAATACGACTTTGAATTCTACTTAAAACCATTGTATTTCATGATTTTTTTGTCTGCATAGAAAAATGGTAGCACAAAAACAACTTTTTGGAGAATTACCCTGTGACTTCCAAATAAGTATTCACTCAACCATCACATTCAGTCTTTGTACAAAGTCCGTTATTCTATAATTCGGTCCCCAGTTTTAAGTACATGATTCTTCAAACCTCCGCGCATCTGCACATAGCTATGTCTTTTGTGGCTTCTTAATCTTCACAGCACAACCGAGACACCAAAAGAATTTTCAGATTTGATCTGTGCGCGAGTTTCCTCTACTATCCAGGATTTGAATTCCTTGCTGCCTGACTGTCCGAAAATATATTAATTGTTTTCCACACCAGTTACTTCCTTTCCAGCATCCCTGCATAGATTTCAATCACCTATATTTCAGCTTAGAGTATGTTCGGGTCTGTGCCAAGATCATTGCTTCAGTTAATCTACCGCCCATAAATGTAAACCCACCTCCGTTTTGGGTCCGCCAGTGTACCAACGATGTCCTGCCTCCTACTATATAGCATTTGTATAATAAATAAACTTATTGAGTTTGTTTCACGAGGACTGGTACACTACGAATCACCCATGCAGGTGTCATAGCCGTTATTAACTACTTATCATCTATCTCACTCTATCACCATCATCTTCCCATGGCGTAGCATCTTTAAATATAGATTGAATTATTTTGAGTTATTAAATATGCATATTGGAGTCATCAATTTAGCAATAATGTCCCGTTCTGAAAGTCAGTCTTATACTGAGGCCACTCATCCCTACTTGCCAGGTTCACTTCATAGGTGTAGTCTGTCATTACTATCTTAGACATCATGTTTAATGGCATCCCCAGAAAGTCCAACGGTTTCTTCAGAGTCATTCTTAAAAGTCACAGATATATATGAAGATTGTGTAGCTCCAGTAGGGTTTCCGTAGCCATTGTAGGCGCTGGGCTAATCGTTGATATTCCTGCACTAGCAGACCACAGAGGCGTACTTGAACATCTTTAATGGCCATTATATCCCCAGGTTTTTGTCACAAACCCTCTGGCATGTCCATCGCTTTATACCATCTTCTCTAAAAGAGGGTTATAGTTGAACGTTTTATCTAAAGTAACTCCTCGGCTGAGCAGTTCATAGTTTCAGCCAGTGTAGAAGGCGACACCAAATTATTCAGTATTCTGGTATTAGTACCATTTGTACATATTATGCGAGGTTGCTTGGAGTTCAGTAGACACCATATTTTCACATTTACCGCTTACTATGGCTAACTCAATCACTAAAGAAGAGAATGGGGGCTCACATCTCATTTTTCTGTATCTCTTCCTATTTAGCATACACACTACAATATCATTGAAAAACCAAACCACACAGTTCACGCTTTTTCTCCTATTTAGGTCCATGTGTTCCGATTTAGTATACGTGATCCTCTTCCCCCAACTGCTAATGGTGGTCCATTTCAAAAATCATTGCAATACCTACGGCAGTTTGGCTGCCTACATCATAGCGTTCCTGGTTAGGATAGCGGGAGGCGAACCGCTAATGTTTTTGCCCGCCCTTATTCATTTTCCGGGGTACGACGTCGAAACCGACACTCAAAAGTTCCCGTTCAGAACTATGGCGATGCTGATGTCGTTGATCACGTTGGTGTTGGTCTCCTGGGGATCGAAACACGTGTTCGAAACTGGCAAGCTGGCTCCTGGTTACGACATATTCCGTTGCGTTGTAAATATACCGGAAGACGTGCAAAGGGTGGGCGAACCCGCCGAGGAGGGGGAACAAATGTCCGTGATGGCGTCTGGGGCGATGGGCAAGCTTTACGGGGCGGCCACCCTCGTGGGCAAAGACGAGAGGAATGGTAGGATTAATCCGGCGCTTGAAGCTGACGATGACATACCCGCTTCGGAAGTGGATCGACTCAGAAGCTCAGTATCTTCGAGCAGTGGCGGCGGAAATAGGGCTTCTAATATTAACCCGACAGATAGCTATCAAACCAAATTGTAGATAACGGCAGTTGCATATTCAGGGGGGTTAGTAGTGCACGGATCGCTAAGGGTGTGTGTAATTTTGTCGGTGGTGCGTCTCATATAAGCAAATTTTGGGTTTGGGCTATTGATAATGATACCCCCATAGTACCAAGTCAAACTAGGTGACGTACAGAGTGAGTAAATTAATGCAATTCCTTTCAATGCCTAGATAGCAACTGCTATGAATCTACATCTTTCGGCATCTGTTTCTTAAAACAACTACGGCTGCGATTAAGATAACAGAATGAATCTCTCTGGTGGTTAAATGACAACAATTCAAACTCAATACTCATGTTATAGTGACATCACATTAAGAAATTTTTTATTTGTATTATTTGTGATTTTGATTAAAAAACAAATTATGCCATTTTCTGCTAACATAAGCCTTTTGCAGATAAAATGATAAGTCCCAAAAATGTGATAGAAATTTATTACTAAAATATTGAACTGTTAAAAGATATCAATTATTATAACCATTTCGTTAAACTGCATCCAATAAAAAAACTGAAAAGAACGGTCTACTCAGAAGGATAATCAGCTACTTAGGATTAACGACCTTAGTTTCCAGTTACCGAGACGAAGTTATATCTGAATGTTCCACTCATGGGAGGTTGGAATAAACCAGATAGAGTTATGTCCGGTTTATGAGCATTTCAAAAATTTTAAGTAGAGTGGTAAAAAAATGCAGCCATTGGAAAAAATTCTTACAGTCATGGTCGAAATATATTAACCTCTGCTGTGGATTTTCCAAATGGGCAATTAAATGCTGTTGATTTCACAGAAAGAATCCATAAAGCATTCTAAGGAAATGAATGCATGAAATGTGGAAAAGCCAACAAAGAATTGCTTATAGTCATAGCTGTTCTCTTCAATACAAATTTGTATGGCATGCTACTACCCTCGTCTTATAAACTGAAAGAAATTTACAAGTAAACAACAGTGCCAAACTGCGGAAGCTACTCCTTGCTTGTTTCAATGTTGCTATATCTCCAAGCACTATACCTTCAACTCCTCTAATGTAGACAATACAAGTTTGGTAAGTGAGCAAAATAGGACATCAAATCTAAAATATTTTGCAAGTGCAATTTTCTCGCTGTTCGTCACCGTTTGACTTCACTTCACTAATTGCTGGCTTTTACCGATTTAGTTACCTATCTGCCAAAACTTATGTGAAACGCATCTTGAAACAACATCTTTTATTTTCATCTCAACGAACTGCAATAACAACGAATAGTCTAAAGAACACAGGAAAATAAAATTTTAAATTTTATACTCTACTATCAATGACTTCCCCATCTGATATACATGTGTATAGTATAAACGAATTCATTGATTTGTGACAACATGTAATATATGTAATTTCGCAGGGTGCTTTTTGGCATTCAAAATTAATTTTTATAGGTTCCATAATAATATTCAATATTTGTTTTAAAAAATGTATTTACTTTATAGGCGTATCTTTTTTTTTGTTAATTATGCAGCTCGATGGGGATTACAATAATAAAAATGTTAATCAATATTTTCTATAAAACTAATTTAATGCGGTTTTCAGAACATTTCATTGAGTTTTTTTAAAAGCATTGGGAAGGTTATATAGAACATAAACTGTACGATTAAATATAAATATTTAAACTTATTCTTAAACATAAGGGCCCAATGCTGAGCAAATGTTTCGAAATTGTCGATCTTATTTTAAATTTGAATCAATCCATATGTCTTATTTCTGTACTTCCGTAATTTGGTAATTTTGCAATTGGGGAGCATTTCTAGTAGATTACGCTCTTCTTACCCCGCCCAGAGTGCGTCCCGCTATACTTGGGTTTCAAATTCGGCCCTCACCAATGTTGAAGTGTTGAAGTTATGTTTAATACTTACGGAAATAGGGCCAGCCATGGTCTAATATATAATGGCGAGAGTCAAACTTGAAATATCCGGTATAGTATACCAGTGTATCCCGCTCCAAATTGGACATCTTGTATATAAGGTGTACATTCGTTATATGTAAATATTTCAGTTAGATTATTTGATTCTGATAAGATATTAGGAAGTTTGTTACTAAAATAAGAGTTTATTGAAAGCGGTTTTGGAAAATTTCTCTTAATGTTGAGGTTGCGGTTTACGGAAAATGGGTGAGAAAAATTCGGAAAAGTTGAATTATTATGGTTAAACAATTGAATGTTTCTCGATGTCAATAATTAAATGTTTCCTCTTTCCCGAAGTGAGAAACTTTGGAGTAGAGTTTCGTACGTCTATTTAAATGTTATTTCTTTATAATGACGATTAAACGTGGATGACGACGGGGGCACAATTCCATACATATCAGAGAAAAAGACTATAAATTATCGTAACATATCAGTTTACATATCAATGTTAAATCTGACTAAGATCGTTTCTCGCATTATTTGTTGGTGTTTGTAAACGTAGAAACGGGTGTTTTATTTTTGATATTTGGCGTGACGCGCAAACGTATAAAGAGCAATTAATAGTATCCTTTGAGGTAAATTATATCGTTGAATTTAGAGAGCTTTTAAGTCGGTTTAGTCCAGTGGCTTCGTATACTAGTGATAATTTTATTTCCAAATGCAAACGGTATTGTTAGGAAATCACTGTTGCAATTCCGGATATTAGGAAATATAGGGTCTTTAGGTTTTGGCGAAGCTGAATCGCTTGTTTTGTTATACAAACAAACCGCAGTGAGGACATTTAGTCAATAGGTTGCTACCTAATCAGAGTTTTTAAAAAGTATGTAAGTTCGGTCTAAATCCTTCCTAAATTCATATTTGGAACACAGCTAAAGTTTTATATATTTTAAGGAAATGTAAAAGCCGAATGTTATATATATACAATTTTGGAGAGTGCTGTAACTAATTTGCTCGATGATGGTACTTTTAAAATTATACCTTCACTCTGGTTAATTCCTTAATACGTCATCAAATTATAGTAGTAATAATTAATAACCACTTCTCTGTGTTCTACTTTACCTGATAAGTTTTCGGGCACTACGGGCACTTGCAAATACTTTGAAACTAAAAGTGACAATTTTCGTGGAACAAAAAAATGGTTTAACTTCGCAAAAAGCACAAGACTCTATCTTTGGTAATAACCGAGATACCGTACTCATACATATCAATACCGCCATCCTACTTGTAACCAATCATATCCGGATAATGCCGATGTAAAATAAAACGTTAGTGTATAGAAATAAAAAATGAAGAGTATATTTCGTATGTTACGTATGTTTGAGAAAAGACATTATAGACTGTTGCGAGATCTTTTAGAATTTTGCTGTAATATAATGTATCTCAATGTAAAAAATCTAGAATTTTAGATGACTTATTGTTGTGAAAATTATACGATGAATCCTTAACAATATTCTTTCAATTTGTCCCATCAATCCCGTATCTCCTGGAATGTGTTTTTTACCGTTTGGATAGGTAAGTTCTTTCGGACTCAGGTATTAATCCTACCTGAACAAGACTTACGAAGTTCTCGTATAGGGAACTAAGAAATCCAACAGCAGCGTTCCCAAATTCAGTTCAATGTTTGTTCAAATATGCACAGTGCGATGCCCATAGCCCTAAAATGCCAAATTTAGTGTTTTTACTGCTTTTCATTCATTTATGTAGGTTCAAACTCTATAATGCTTTGCATAAAGGGCTAAAAAAATTGTTGAAATAAAATAAACTGTGATTACGAGTTCTATTAGGTGTCTAAAGTGGATGAAAATGAGAATATTTAAAAGGACATTTGCATAACGCTCATAAATTCCCAGCTAAGTTTATCTGATCCTCTCACATGCAGATGTCACCACATAAAAATTATGTTTGAGGACCATAGAAATCGATACTATTTACAAATATACAAGGTATCCAAAAGGAAATGGTCGAATATCTAGCGAATTATACGATTGATCAAAAAACATCAAAAAACAAAAAACTGCCTTTAAATATTGAATAAAGAAACTGTTAAATAACAAGAACCCACTGGTGGTGGAGAAAGAGCAACTTTAATATTCATTTATAAATGAGTCTCGGAAGTGGTTTATAAAAGTGTTACACAGTTTACACATGACGGAGTGAATCTGAATCAAAATCAAAAACCCGTGATTAAAGGAGCGGAAACTTTAGGGAGTAGGGAGTAAAAAGTATGCTTCAATAAACGGATATCAGCAAAGTCGTCTTTATAACATTGACCAGTGAACATCTCGACCATGTCATTGGCATGGATTAGGATTCGGATTGAAATCTGCTACAAATAACAACGGACCAAACAATGCTGGTCAATATTTTAAAACTAACCTTATTTTTGGAGCAAAATTAACGAAATTTGGTCCACATGTTTCTGAAGGGTATTTTTCTGGATATGGTATGTAATCCGTTCAGTTTTAATTCTATTAAAATCCTTAATTTTTCAAAGAACTTCAACAGGCTACTGTAATACTTTTTACAAAACTTCTGGATTCCTCCTGCTTCGGTTTTTGCTGACTCGAACTTGCTGAAGTTTAGCCAATCATCCTGTTGGCTTCTTCAGAGCTTCTTCATTCAAGTCAGATGATGCATGTACATTTTTTTAAATGCATTTAAATTTAAGTTAGTGAACTCGTGCGACAAAATTGTGGAAACGAATCGTGTAGAACGTAAAGGATGTCTAAAATAAGGCACTCTGATGATGTGACATCCTTAGTTTCTTTCTGTACCTTACGTTTACAGGATGGATGGTACTTCTAGGAATATGTGGCTCTCTTAGCAAAGTCGATAAATCAAGATTATAACCATAGATCACATGACAGTAGTCGAAACATGAGAGAACACGTGACTCACATAATTGTTGCCTTATTTTAAAATTTAAAATAGGCCTGGTGCTGTATTAATTAAAATTGATTAATTTAAAAACAACACCCCATCTAAAATAAAAAATATATATATCGGAAAAAGAAACAATTCACTGATTTCCAATTCAACTGACCGAAACTTTGTGTAATTAAAGACATTTAAGGTTCGAAATTCTGTTAGGGTCTGTTAATGAACCAGCGTTGAAAGAAACGTCTGGGAGGGGTTAGAAGTAACAACGAATATTTTTTATAATACAAATTTTATTCGAAAGTACAAAAATGCCACGGTTTTTGTAAGACAACCACTGTGAATTTCTATTCAATAAATAAAAAAATATTTACAAGGATGCTCCTTTAGTGGTACTTTCTTAACCGACCCTCTTTAATACGAGTAGCCACCGTTACTGGCGTAACCTTGACCACCTCCTCCGTTACCTCCAGAGCTGTATCCTCCATTTCCACCTCCCGAACTGTATCCTCCATTGCCACCACCAGAACTGTATCCTCCATTACCACCTCCTGAACTGTACCCTCCGTTCCCACCTCCAGAACTGTACCCTCCATTGCCACCTCCGGAACTGTAGCCTCCATTGCCACCTCCCGAGCTGTATCCTCCATTACCACCTCCATTTGAAGGTGCACCGTAGCTGGAAGATGGAGCACCGCCACCGAATCCACCGTTAGAAGGTGCGCCATAGCTTGAGGAAGGTGAACCACCACCGAAGCCGCCTGATGAGGGTGCACCATAGCTTGAAGAAGGCACCGACGGAGCTCCATAACTAGACGAAGGTGAGGAGGGCGCTCCGTAACTGGAAGAAGGTGCGCTTCCACCCCCGAAGCCTCCCGATGGAGCCCCGTAGCTTGAGCTAGGTCTTGAAGGTGCACCGTAAGAAGACGACGGTCTACTAGGTTTAGATGGTGCTCCGTATGAAGAAGAAGGCCGCGAAGGTCCTACCGGAGTTCCGTAACTAGTGGACGGTGGCAAATATTGGCTCAAGCCTCCGTTTCCTCCGTTTCCTCCGTTTCCTCGACCTCTGCCTCCTCTTGAGGGTGCTCCGTAAGAAGAGGAAGGCGATCCACCTCCAAATCCGCCTCCGAAACCACCACCGTTACCGAACGATGGAGCGCCATAGCTGGAAGAAGGTGCGGCTGGTGCTCCATAACTCGATGAGGGTGCTGCGGGTGCTCCGTAGCTGGATGAAGGAGAACCTCCTCCAAATCCACCTCCGAAGCCACCGGACGATCCGAATCCTCCAGAAGACGGTGCTCCGTAGCTAGAAGAAGGTTGCGACGGGGCTCCGTAGCTTGACGATGGCGCAGGTGGAGCACCGTAACTCGAAGAAGGGCTACCTCCTCCGAAACCGCCGCCAAAGCCACCGCCATTACCACCACCGAATCCACCTCCGGATGATGGCGGGAGGTAGCTGTTGCTTATAGGTGCTACCAACAAGTTTTTAGTTTTGCTTTTTGTTTTTATTTTTCAGTGTTTGCAAGTAGTTGTAGTATGAATATAGCTGATGTGAAGTAACGCTAGAATCTAAAATGATTACATACTTAACGAGAAAATTTATTTGCTTTTAGCAAACTTCACACTTACGAAAGCAATTTGTAAATTTGCATATACAATCGAAGGGCATTCAGTTACTTATTTTATCATATTTATTTACGAGAAGGGACAAGTTGGAGAAATCCTAAACTTTGCAATTCTGCGTCAGAATTTTCAGACAATAGACTTTCAATGTTAGAATCTAAATTATTTTATTATATTTTTGTTTAATTAAAATTAAAATTGAATGCCCTACTTGTTTTCTAGTAAGTAACAAAATATTAATAAAATTTGAGAAAAACAATGGTCATTTTTTTTATTTCGCCTCTTCGGCTCAGTGATCCATCGATTAATATATGTTAAGGGTGTTTCAGTTTACTATAACAAAGCTTTAACATTTCGTCAAGAAAGTAAGTATATATAAACATTTGTCAATAATAAAGTTTTTTAAATACAAGATGTTAAAATAATAATAAAGCTAAACTATATCAAATTCAAACTAAAAAAATGGAAAGATAATCTTAAAACATTTCTCTTAGAGCCATTAGAATCTATAGGGCTATCGCGGGCAAGTTTTTTAGTAAAGTTTACTTTAATATGTTTGTTGGCACCATGTATTAATGAACTACCATGTATATAATCATAAGAGATTTCCTGCTGGCCATATAGCAAATTCATCGTTATCTAAAAAAAATAGTTTTTCTTTAAAAAACTAGGGAGGGTTTCCAATATCTACGCTAATTGTTAAGTTAAAAGGCAAGTAAGATTATCATTAAATTTACTTATATTGAATCTGATAATTTTTTGGTTTCTGGAAATATTCATAATTATTTTATAACTTTACACCCTGTACCTTAAGAAGCTTTTTGTTGACTTGAAAAATTTTGCGGTTATTAATAAGTATAATTTATTGTTTTTTATAGAGTGTGTTTCAAAAAGCCTGCCGCCTATTTCTAAGGAGGTATATTAGAAATTAACGTTAGTTTAGTTAATTAACATTAACAGACAAAAATGCTTTTTAGATCATAAAAGTACCGTTTGCAAAATTCAGAATAGTGTACAATGTAGAGATAGAGTTCGTTCTCACGCATTACTGAGCATTACTTGCCAAAATATTAATTCATTTACTCATTAATTCATTTTAACTGTAAAGATGAGTGACTTTTTTATGACAAATTATTGCAAAATATATGAAATTATGTCACCAGCAGATTTCTTTACAGTCTATCAACGAATATTTATGCTCTAAATTTCATTTAGGTGCAGGTACCTACCGTTTATAATAATAAAAAAAAAAATTTATTTTTCAATATTATATTTGGTTTCGAAACATATGTATAAATAAAATGGCAACGACAAACAAACAGCTTACTTTGCCTAACAATGCAGAGTAAAAAAATAGTTTTCTCCAAATTTACGCAACTATTATTTGTTCCGTTCCGAAATCACGGCGAAACAGAAAACAAAACAATAACAGCAATTATTTATTCAGAGGTGCGCGATATAATGACGGGGATAAATTAAAAACGGTTTGGTACGTACCATCACGCTTGGCTAGTTTGCCCGCCAGACATGTGGAAAGGCAGCACAGTGCTAGTGCTATTGTCTGAAAAGGAAAACATACACGTGTTATTTACTGACGACCAATTAAGCAAATAATAGCGAAACAATTGCGATTTTATTTACGAGGAGATTCTAAAGAGTATTTTGCTGAGCTTATGTGGATTTACGTAATAGTATACACTGCAACAAGTTTGTTAAACGTCATTTTAGTCATAAGTTTTAGTGGTCACAAGCACAGCAAATGCTTAATAATCAGATAACTAAATCGGGTGACTAAAGAGGTTTATCAAATGGACGTGTGACATAATCTTTAGAAGTGACAAACGTTAACATACCATCAGTTTTTTTAAATTTAAATTTTAATTAAAAATACATTTTTTATAATAGAAAAATAATGTATTTAATAACAATTATAAATTATATTATAAATTATAATGTATAGGAATTGGATTCTGGCACCGAGTGCACTACTCAATTGTCGATTTAGCACGAAAGGCTCCAATGAGTTGCTCGACTGCAGGGGTTGATGTGTACTAGATTTTTGCTGATAAACCGTTGTTGAGAAATTATTTTTCTTTTAGAAAGAAAAGTGGCTTATATTGCTTCGTTTTCGAGAATGTTCGAAATTCGAAGAAAAGTGGAGATGAAAACGAAAGGTCTAAACTTTTTAAGCAAATCTTATTATTGTTTTGCAAATTTAAATGATTGGAATTGTCTGCTTTTAGTAATTGACTTATTAAACAATAAGCTCAATATCAATTAAGCGAAAAGTTTGATAAATGCCATTGTAATCATAGGTTGGCAAGGAATTTCAAGGCATTTTACGATATTCTAGGGTATTTAAAGAAATTTCAAAGAATTTTGGGCATTTCTGGAATTTTCGATGGAATTTGCGGAAATTGCAAGCACGCATTAATGTGACGCAATTCCGAGACTTAAAAAAAGGAACGGGAAGATTTTTAAATAAAAAAAAATGCTATTTTAGGTATTAGAAGTGGAAAAATGTCTTTTAAAAACCATATTCTGTGATATTTCATTGCAATTTCACGCCACATATGTAAAATTTATCATATTTCAATAAGCAAATAAACATTGGGAAATAGAGAGAAAAAAAAATAGTTTTTCTTTATGGATAAGCTTATTTTTTAATGAAAATCTTTAATATCCACCTTTTTTTCTAAAGGTAATTTACGTGAGTAATACTGGGTGTTTCAAAAAATGTTCCGCATGTGTATCCAAAATGGCTTCTCTATAAGATGTTACAAAAAATCGGTTTCTTTTTATTATTTCTGAATAGGGTTTAATAAATTAAAATTATTTTGGCCCCCTTTTTTTAATGGGGATACATTTAATGATGATCTTTTTTTAACATCTTACTATGAAAAAGGTACCCTTGTTGCAGTGAAAAAAACGCTCTACTTCGGGCAATAATGACAGTAACAGCAATTGAGTAATAATGTTGAAAATCATTTTAGACTTATATTTGTTTTTCAGATTTCCTTAGGCAACTTAAACCGTCACAGAAACAACAACAATTTTTTGGAAAACCTTTTTAAGATTGGAATTAACTGAAGTACACTTGTTTATTATCTAGAATATCTTTATTTTCTAATATTCAATTCAACCCAGAAATAACCGGAACGTTTTTTGAAACATCCTATATAATATTATATGCGTTTATTATTACTTTTTTTATTTCTAGTCTTAAAATAGCAATAATAATAACAATAATAATTATTTCATACATATACGGATTTTTCGTTTTTCTTCTCCACTAAAAATTGCCTAAATGAATTTTTATTGCAAAAAGGGCAAGGTATAGCAGAACCCGAACAACTTTTGGTTCTTTACTAAAATTCAAAAATTTAACGGATATGTTGTTAAAATTAAGCGAGAATTTGCCACATTCATGTTTTAAGTAAACTCTTTAATTCGTTCTTCAAATGAATCTAATAGACATTGCGATTTGTCATATATAAAGAAAAGAGTCTGGAAGTGGTGTTAATTTTTACAACAAATCTATTTTACGATAAGAACGATGTTTTTTCTTGATTAAAAGTTTTAAGTCCAGGGCCGGCTCCAAGGGTGTCAAAGGATTGTACGCCGCTGACTTCTTTGCAATTTTTGTGGATTATTGTGAATAAGCCTCTAGAAATACAACTTTTTTAACCCTTGAGTTGTTTGTTTGATTGATATAACGCACATTTCTTTTTTGGATCCTTTGATATACAGTAAACTAAAAAAATATTGATGAAAATGACGGTCAGTGGCAGGGGTACGTTAATATGAACATTTTTTCCATTTTTTTTTGGTTCTTTAGAAACGTGTTGTCGCATGTTTTTAGAAATACCCTGTATATTCTATTCCACTGACGGTTTCCCTGGCGAAAACAATTTTCCGCTTGTCCAATTTCTGCCCTTTCAAACTAGGACAAAAGTTAGCAGCAAGACGCGGGATTATTTTGCTATATTTAAAAAATCTTGAGAGTAAACATCTTTAATAAATCTACCAGCGAGATATTTTGGAAAACTATCCGATATAACCTTAAATAAATTTACGACGATGACGTACCAGCTCTTGGGAGGCTATCGGCTGGTGCGTGGAAAAAAATGCGTGCCAAGACTCCACCGGGTAATTAGCAAGTAAAATTGTCAATAAAAAATTTATTTCCACCGTGCGGACCTCGACCGGTTAATTAACTTGCACAAGACGAAGAACGCTTAAGTTTACGCAACTTTTTTTTCCGATTCGTAATCGGCAATTATATATTTGCTTAAATTGGAAAAATAGGTTTCGGATTGTAACGCAATTTATTGCGTTTAGATAAACAATAACAACATGACACTGACATTATCGAAGGCAGACCCCGTTTTGATAAGCTCGGAAAGCGTGATTTGGAGGTGAACTACGCTTGTTTTATGGTTTGGGACGGACCTAGCATTATAATTTGATTTATTTCTTAATTCCTGCCGTAATAAAAACACGTTTCGAAGTCATTTGCCTCAGTATGCAAGTCTAGTATCAACGGGCTTTCAGAGTATGAGAAAATATATCGTTTTCTCATGAATATCTCCAAGATCCTTTAACCAATTTTATTAAAATTTGCTACGATTTTGTGTATATTTACCTTTAGTCAAAAAGAATCCGCAGCGGATTTTTATTTATTTTTAAGTTTTGTTAGCCAGCGTTTATTAATAACGTATACAAAATACGCAACGCCTTTATAGGATCGCCACCAAAGAAAACATACTATATAATGCTACATAAGAACACACTTTTATACATCTAAAGTTAAAAAACAAATTAAGAAATGCATATATTGGAAATCAAATCTAATCAAACATTATATCATATTATTACTGTTTATTTAGCAAAAAATATTTCTTTTCACACAATAACATGTAATCTGGTCTACGGTAGGTGGTACATTATTTTATTCCTAATGCTATACTTATCCCTCAACGATATTTTTGTTATGATTTTTTTAAACATTATATACTTGTATTTTTCAAAATATTTTCTACAAGTCTGAGCTGCCTAAACCGGCCCTTGATCTGATAACTTTTTTCAGTAAGATAAATGTTTTTCCAGAATTTTCTTGCTAGGTAATCAACATGGTTGGCCAAAGTGAGTTTTTGGCAAATTAATAATCCAGTTTTCTTGCACAAACGTTTTTTTTTTATTTTTTTTATCAGTTTTTAATAGAATGGTGCTGCTTCCATAGCCAGCGAATGAGTCCTACGGCTCTTAAAGATCTCGGAAAACTATCCGCATGCACGTTAAAAAGCTTTGGCGACCAACGCTCCTTGGTTATATTAGGTTATATTTTTGAAGGTGTTTCGTAAGCTTGGTATTAAAGCAATTTTCGAAAATATTTTTAATATGATTTTGTAGCACCACAGGACGGTAGTTGGGACTATTTTTGATATTTTTGACACTGAGGGATAGTCTCCTTGGTTAAAACCTATATTTATTTTTACATAGCGGCAGTAAGCATACAACTTTTTTTATATCCAGATAAATTTTCCTTATATTCTATTTTATTCCCACGCACTGTCAACTCAAACCGAAAAAATCATGGTTGAGATTATGCAAAAAGTTTGATAAACGGCTTGATGAAAGGAGTGACAAAAGGAGTTTATAGATGGATTAGTATAATTTTTCTGGACATGTAGAGTAGAAAATATTTTTGTGGTTCACGGTCTAGTCTGCTGTGTCCAAAAGATTCACAGATCGAGGAGCTCCTAGCAGATAGTGTGCATTAATAGAGTTTACCAGTACTGAGTACTAACAAAAATGGCTAGAAATCCTAATAGGACATTGCCAACTATAAAGGCATCCCCATATTATGCGGGTGGGCGATGACAGTACATACGGGTTGTAATTAAAGGGAGGAAACTTCTCATCTTCTAGCCACTTGCCCGCCACTAGCCAGTGGCCCACTAAGAGTACTAAAATAATAAAGTTGATTCTTCTTCTCTTGTATGGTTTTAAACTGATGAAATAAAAAAAAAAGATAAGAAATCGCCAAAACCTGTGTGGTTTTTAGGCCTCATTGGCAATTATAAACTTTGCTTTGCGACTTCAACTGTACCTCACGAACTACCGAGACTGTAAATTCATAGCAATAAACCGACGCTATTCAAAATAAATTACAATGTGTCAAGAGCGTATCTTTATGATAAATTAAGCCTTAATTTAAATAAAAACGTTAAAGCAGTTTTAAAGAGTTGTTGACCTCCTTCATAGATTTTCGGCTCTGGACGGGGTGCTATTTTTATTCTACAAAATGATTTTTAAAAGAAGGCTTCAATATTGAATTGGTATGAAGGAAGACAAGGTTCTTTCTTTTTTCTTGAGTTTGCTATTCCCATTTTGGAAAATCGTTGGAGCAAGCGCTAAAAAATACATTTCCAAGCGGGAATTTCGTGTCGGTCGCCATCGAAATCGAAAGCCATAGTGTTACTTTCCCCAGAGAACGTATCTTCCGATCGAATGAGACGCGTTTTGTTAGATGGACGACAAGCGCGCACCATAATTAAGCGGTACAACAACAACAATAACTTAACAAGCGAGATTTGCGATTACTCGGCCTGTAATTCATAGACGCCAAGTTCAAATCGTGTCGACGGTGGAAAAACTTTTACTACTTTTACCAACGGCGAGGCCCGAGACCTGTACGAGCTGCGTAGTCGATAGAAAGATTTTAATGATGTTTTGAACCCAACATTTTTTACATTTCTCGCACGCCCTGTCGTTACTTTGTTTTTATGTATTTAAAAAAGAGTGTGTTTATGGCACTTAATGTCAAATGGCCTGACATGATTTTGCTAAATAGTTTTAATATAGCAGTTACCGGAAAACCTTATAAGAGTCTATTTTATTTTCAAGACTATTGACGTATTTAACGAAATTTTGTTTAAGTGTAAGAATAGTACCTCACTACCTAGACGAGGAGGCTAAGCCTCGACCATGCTGCATATTTCCTTTTATTATGTTATTTTTCTGCTAGTATTTTTTCCTCTTCTCTTCTATATTTCATTGTGTAATTATTTATTTACTTCTTATGTGATATATATCATACTTTGAATGTAAAATTTAAGGGTCGCTTGTCTCCTCCGAGATTAAAAACCACTTCTTTTTTGAATTCATTTTCATATAATCATACCTATTCTGTTTCTAATTAGCAATCATCGTTATTAATAAAAAAGAACTAAAAGTTCAAATTTTCACAGAATGATGTATATATATATATATATATATATATATATATATATATATATATATATATATATATATATATATATATATATATATATATATATATATATATATATGATGACACTATATTCCGGGATATCATCCGTTCCTTTGTTGAACTCCGACTGGAACAGTGTTCGAAGTGTTTTCGCGCGAGCGAGCGAGCATTGAAGATGCCACGTGAGATTTTGGCGAAACGTCTGCAGGATTCCAGTCGGCGTTCAACAAGCGAACGGATGATATCCCGGAATATAGTGTCATCACATTTTTCCATCCGTAGTAAATAATGTAGGTTATCTACGGTAGGTTATGTTACGTATTCTACTTCTTGCGTTCAATAACCAGCTGACAATGTTTCATAGGTACTATTGTTAAGATGAAAGAAACAGAATAAGAGTTTGCATACCCATATTGCTATCGTTTAAAGTCTCAACAATATTGTTATTTAATTTATTTTTAATTTATGTTATAATAATATTCCACCTTCTTTTTAAACATATACTATCACCAGTCTTTGAGAGATATAACCACTGTGACCACCATCTTTATATACACTGTATATGCTGTCTTCGTCTTCTATATAAGTACAGTTTTGATTGGCTAGAATTTTAAATCAGTGTCAGTGCCATTATGGCCATTTGGCACTGTGAAATTTGTTTTGAACTTAAAGCCCATTTCATGCTACTGTATATTACCATTAATAATCAGTATGTTTTCCTTTTTCTAGAGTTGTTCATTATCTAAAAAAGGATTTAAACCTAGAACCTGCAGCGCAGCAGCATCAATCATTTTAATAAATTGAAAACGAAACACATACAAAAAATTACTTGTAATTCAAATGGAATGGTGACATATAACCATATCAGATGTGGCTGATGAAATGAGCATAGTAAAATAAACGCGTTTAAAGACAACAGTAAAACGAAAATTAATCGTTTTATGTTTACATTTAAATTTGTACCGGCAACCTCACCTATGCTTCGCAATGATACAATATTTCTTGTTATTTGCTTCCTTAAAACATTGAGGTGCAAAAAGTCCTTTTTTATGAGAAACGTCAAGCGTAACTATTGAAGAAAATCATACGAAACTGCAACGTTGCAAGACTAAGTCATAATATCTTGATGATGGGAACGTATAAAATAAAATTAAACGACCAATATGAGGTGCAAGTAAGGTGTCTAGAGTGTCTGACCATTAACTATGAACATTTTAGCGACTGTGAGAGAGAGAAATTATCATTACTTGGTGAGAATTAAATTTTTAAACATTTTAAGAAGAAAGCAAAACATTTAATGACTCCAAGGAGAATTTACAAAATTTGCAAAGAAAAAGAAAAATGAAACTTCGGGCTTTCCAATATTTAAGTTTTAGAAAAAAAAACTTAAATAAAAAAATATTTTGTAGCTATTTTTTAAATAATAATTCCCAAGCACTTTCCTTATTCCAAAGTAGATTTGATTTCGCTTATTATATTATAATATAAATTTAACGAATTATGTTTTATTATTGGGATTTCGAAAAAATGAACAAAATATCAAGTGAGTAATTAATATACAGACTTTCTTTCATACCATGTGCTTCAGAATCGCAATTTAAACATTACTCTTGACAACAATGAAATGCAATTTATAAATTACAAAACAAGTTCCTTATTAAAATTTGAAAAGTAAAACTTAATTTCTATTAAATTTTGAGTATTTCATTAAAAAAAACGAATTGGAGTAATTTGCAAAAACACATTTCTAAATACCAGTAAAGATTTTCCCGTACACTCAAATCACATTTTCAAAATACACTAAAAATGTACACTAGTGTCGTCCACTTACCGCAACGTTAAATTGACGCATTCTCGTGATACGCACTCGGCACTGACGAAAAACCCAAAGACCCACGGCGATGTGCACCAGGTCTATGGTCGATATCATCTTCATGGCGGATATTTATATTCTTCAGGGTTCATGAGTTAGAGAGTGAAAGTGATGAATCCGAATCTTCAGCGGCTCGTCGAGATGTACAATAGTGAGGCAAGGTCGTTTTTGGAAGCTGTCAGTTTTGCGAAAATAAGTCAGCTTTGTACACGGAAAAACAATAATAAATAATCTATTTATATATACCCAAAGTGTTAATATAAGTATTCTATATCCTTAAATTTAATTCTTAAATATAGATTTGCTTTTTTTCTTTTCCCTTAGCGTATATTATTTTAGCGTCATGCGACTTCTAAATATCAGATACAGAATTTACATTCTAGAAATGACAACAGTCGACTTAAGTTATCACATTTTCAGATGAAAACATTAAAATTTTTAATAAATCTTTCTTAATACAAACGTTAATTTAATGAAGCTCTTTTCAGAATTGATGGGGCGTTCTGCGTTCTGTTAAAGGAATATACGGGGATTAAAAAAATAAAAAGGAAACATAAACATAAATATTTGTTGAGGAAACCGAGAAAAATATTTTATGATAAAGAAATAAAATATTTATTGTTTATATAGCGTCCTCTTGTCACAAAGTGATTTTCAAAATCGGTTAAATTAAATGACTGTCCAGTCGTCATACACCGGATTAGTAGTACACGAGGCTTCATTCCTAAATCAATCGTAAGATATAATACGACCAAAAATATAGTGCATTTATTGCTTTGACATTTTAATTATTTTACACATACCTTCGCAGGACCGTGGTAAAACCCATATTTGTTGAAACTTGAAATTTTTATTTGAAACGTAAGTGGACCGTTTTAAATTTGATTAGGCATTGATGCTGCGGGGTATTTTCGAATAAGTAGAATCGTTTATTTTAACATCAGGTGATGTGTATCAGTCTTAACAGTTTAATCTAAATTGCAATATGTTCGTCTATATCACGGAAATATTTGACTGCGAGGCTGTTTTCACTGGATAGTTCAAAGGGTAAATTCAGAAGAGGAAGTAGCAGCAGCAATACAAACAAGCGGCATGACCAAAATTCCGAAATCAACTCTAAGAAAAATTGTTGCAAATGGGATAGTCAAGAGGAAAGTGAGAGAAGATTTAAAGAGTTTTTAAAGCGCAACACGCAAATCTAAAACCCTAGAAAACATGCTTTAAAATACTGACAGACTTTAACATTGTGCCAAAGAGTCGTTGCGCACTTTTTTGACGAAAATGGATTTTCAGTTCCAAACAATTAATAAAAGTGAAGACAGTAGCGATGATGACGATTTTTTAACAAACAAAATTTGTTAATAATCTTTATTACTGTGAAATTCGATGAGCAAAGTAAGACTAAAAAACCGTAGATACTTGAAATATCAATAGGTTACCAGATGCTTTCCATTTTTTCTTATATGTTGTTATATTAAATATTAAAAACTTACTTGACCCTAAAACAATATTTTTTTATAAATAAAGCTAGAGGAAAAGGGAATTGTAATCAGTTCAAGATTATATTTCACTTTTTTTAGCTAGAAAAAGATGCGTATTTTAGTTATTGTATGTCACATCCATAGTTAGAACAATACATTTTATTAGCTCAAATACGCGTGCTAAATTTGAAGACATAATCAAAATGTCTGAGCTAGACAGTATTCCTACACAGCATGAGCGAACTCATTAATTCATTACTCAAGTATATTTATTTACCAATCGATTTGCACCCCTTTTTTCAACATAAATAATTATAAATCTTTGTTTAAAACCAAAAGTAAAAGAGCTGTGAACCAATTCTAGTTTCTTCTAGTTTGCAATGAAATTAAACAAAAGAACCAAATAAGATAAATTAGTTGCATTACTTAATCTCCAGCCAGCATTTAAAAAGATTTTATTTTAATAAATCGGAAACGCGATTTTCAATTATTGTTTTTTCGATACAACTATTTTAATCTGGGGAAAAATGCTACAAACATGACTAATTAACCGAACTCTTAGCTTCAATAATACCTGAAGGACTTGGCAATAGTGTCGACTTGAATTTGTAGGTAGGTACCAAGTGATTTTTGGGCTATTGTAATAGTAATATAAATGTACATACGTGTTTTAAAATATCGGAAAAAACATTAAACGATTTACTGTATATATATTCTTACCGACAAAATTTTCGATTATTGATATAGAAATTATTCAGGAGGTAAGCAGTTTCTCCATCGTATTCAAAAATATTTGTATATTTCACCGAAAATATTCCAAAAGGCTCTGTCGAATACCTACCTAGTATCTAATAAAAAGTTCAGTCGAGTTTGAAATACGCAATCCCTTTTTGCAAAATTAACCTTAGGCGGCGTCCCATTGGTCTGCTGAAATACGTAACACTGATTATTTTTCAAATTAGAGATCTGATATTCTTAATTTAAGTATTGTTGTTGTATTTTTGGAGGTTCACTTTCAATTTTGGTATAGACATTATGATTTTTTGATTGTTATGAATAGGGCTTTTTCCTATGAGAATTTGCTTTACTGAGTATATCTTTGTTTTCATAATATAACGAAATTTATCTCCACTTTAAACAATTCGCTCAGCAAGATATATATACAAGTAATTATGTTATATTTTAAAATAATTGAAATTTAGAAATCGAAGACATTATATTATAAAATGAAACTAGAATTTATTTAATTTGACATAAGGAAAGTAGCCAGTTAATAAAATATTAACTTATTGTAAAATATTGATTGAGATTGCGATTGAGATTGAATTAAATATCCAATGTCTTTTTTGAGTTTTGGTCAGACATTTTGTTTTGTAATGAATCTAAAACTATTGAACTAAGCAAGAAATTTCGATCAAATATTATTTCATGAATTAAGATTTTTTTTCCGTGTACTTCACCGTTTTCTTTTGTTATTATTTACATTATATTTAACCTAAACTAACCTGAAGCCGACAATCATCATTTTTTACTTTTGTTCTAACTTTTGAAATTTTTGTATAGTTCATTACTCTCTAAAATTTAGAGTTTTTCTAGTTATTTTGAAAAAATACGTAGATTAGGACCGAAAAAAGTGACGGAATTCTGGCCAAAAATAGATGTCTTTGAAATTCAAGCAGGGAAAAATTTACAATGAATCGAATTATTCTAGAAAATTAGGCATACATTGTAAATTTAATATTCAAAAAATAATGATTTTAGTAAAAATGTCCTTTTCAAACCATTATTTATATTTATTAAATTTCCAGTTACTAATTAATTTTTATCTAAGTTTGAAGAAAATGTTAATAGCTTACCCACGTATACTAGATGTTTTCTAATTGAATGTCAATAATTAAGGGCGCGATTTTTGGGTCCATTTTAAAAAGAATTCATAATTTAATGAAGGGGCAATATTTGGGGTACCACAATTTTTTTAGAATACATAAAAAAATAATTGATGGTACGCCACTGATTTCTCTTAAAATAAAAATTGTTTTTACAATCTGCAAAAATTTCTAAAGGAATTTAATTTCTTCACTTTTTTCATACCGATGCACGGTTTTCGCTTCTCTGCATGGTCATAACAATATCGTTAATATGACAGCATGCAGAGAATTACTAACACTATTATTTCTTACTTAAGTAATCTGTTTTATTATAATACTTATAATATCTTGTTAGGATGTTACGTTATTTCAGTACATCTGTAAAAGTAAAAAGAACAGTTTTGTAATATTTTTCTTCTGAAAGCCATTAATATTTATGTATTTTATTTGAGATAGATATTTTATTTTTTACAAAAAAAGTTCTCAATTAAACCATTGCAGTGGCGACTTAATTAACCAAAATATTATTTGTTCATAGAAAGTCACTCATTTTCTTTAAAAAAATGACATTTGCATTCATTTATGACCAGATTCAATCCCTTATTTTTTTTTAGTCCGTCGCACAGTTTTCACTTAAAAATAAAAACTAATTTCTCTGACCATGCAGAGAAGAGGTTATGATTTTTTTAAGCGAAAACCGTAAATCGGATTGGAAAAAATTAAGAAATAAAAACTCTTTAGAAAAGATTGGAGATTTTAAGAATAATTTTTATTTCTAGAGAAATCAGTGGCGTACCAACAATGTCTGTTCAAACAGAGAGGTGAAATTCCGTACTCCCGCCACTGATATATTTTTAAAAAAAGTGTAGGGCACTAAATAATGCCTCTTGATACATAGTATGTGTGTGCAAAATTTCATTAAAATATCTAAAGTGGTTTTGCAGATATTTAAAAAAATGCTGGAAATTATTTTCGAGCTTCTGAAATTTCAAAAACACTTTGTAAAATTAACCATAGTTAAAGTGAGCGTATTATTTTAAAGCTGATGCAAGTTCAAATCTTTTTTGATTAATGCTATCTGCTCTATCTCCGCATTTCTTTACATAAGTGTCCATTTCGCCAAAAAGTTTCAACGCAATTTAATAAAGTTGGAGTCCTTAAAAAAGAATATCTGCCGCGCTCTGAGTGATGCGATTGTGATCCAATATCTTTATCCTAGCCGAAAATATGAATAAAAAAGCTAAACGCTTGGAAAACATTTGAATTAACTAACCAAAACTAACCAAACAAATGTCAAAAATTTATTATTCAGAATTCCAAATGATATTTAAAATTGAATTTCCCCGCTGCTAACATTTCAACGTGACATGCTTTGCCGCTTTCAAATAATTGGTATCATAAATTATACTTAGATTAATAATTACGTTTCTTCAAATCACCAAAACTAATCAACTGTTATTTACCTGACTTACTAATTTAATTAATTACTGAATTATTTAAGTAGTAAGGTGTGTATTGGAATAATAAGTATTTCTCTTCGTTCCTAACACTTGTAGGCGCTGCATTACGGTGAGTTTAAATAAGATAATTTTAATGCAATAAATATTAAACAAATTTAAATTAAACCACCAAACAATCGAGGCAACTTCCGTCACTAAACTTGGACTGCAAGCAGAAAAATGCAAAATGGTTTCAATATTAAACTTAAACTCAACGCTGAAGC